GGAATATTTGGTAAATGCTCAAGTGGGTTTGTTTCTTTAGAAAAACCATGGATTGTGCCAGTGGTTCTCAGTGTGGTTCCTGAGCCAGCAGCCTTAGCACCAGCTGGAGCTCAGGGGAAATGCACATTCTTGGGCTCCCCCCAGACCCACTCCACAGAACCTGCCAGGTGGGGGCCAGACCTGAGCTAAGCCCTCCAGGCGATTCTGGTGCACGCCTAAACCTGAGACTGGCTGGTTTACACCCATTAATGGATGAAACCGCGCACTGAATCCACTGCTAATGCCCAGACTCAGCAAAGGAAAGCAGAACTTTAACCAGGGTCTGGAAAAGGAAAAGTCTCCCGTGTGTTTGATTCCTCTTCCGTGCTCCACTAAGTAATCAAGACAGGCCGGTTCCTGTGCTGAGGGGGCAGAAGCCAATGCTCTCTCCAAGACCCAGCGCTATGCTGGGGGACAGAGAGCTGAGCATGGGCATCTGGGCGAGAGCACACACACAGCCGGAGAAGTGGTGCTGGGACCTGGCCCGGAGAGCACCTGACGCTGGCCGAGGACACGACGCGCCAGACGATGTGCGCAGGTGTGAACCACTGAGAGCTGCAGAAGCAAGGACAGTGGGGGGCAGAGCCCCACTCTGCAGCTGGCGTTCTGATGTCCAGGAGCACTTGCCTCTCTGGGTAAGGAAGCAAACAGGTCAGGGCGCACTCAGATGAGACACAGGACTTCCCGCTAATGTGGGCACCTGGAGCTCAAGGGTTAGGGAAACACCAAAGGGCTTACACACTTGATCCTTTAAGCTACAGAAGCAGGTCTTAAGGGATATTTGGTAAGGGTGGTATTTCAAGTCCCTGAGAGAAGAACAGAACATTGGGAACTTCCCTTTCCAGCAGACTAGGTAAGTCTGATCAATCCTCCAGCTAAGAACAATCAGAAAAGCTGGACAAAATACTTGTTTAATCTGCTTAATCCTGGAGAGGGAAACTCAGGGAGGTGAGCCAAGCATGGCAGCTGAGGCAGCGGGAGAGAGGTCGGGCCCTGGCAGGCCGCGTCAAGCTCTGAGCCACTGCGGGAACTGGAGTCAGAACTGCTGGTGCCCCGACACCCATCACACTGTTTAAGGTCATCGCTGAAAAAAGAAAATACTACCAGAGGACTCAAATTATTGTCACCTGTTTTCATGTACAAAGCACAGTACAGAGTCAAAAATAACCAGGCAAACCAAGTGAAAATAAGCAAAAGTAAACCCAAGAAGCACAACAGACAACACGACCAGACCCACAGGGCACAGCTACCGGGGTTGCCAGACACAGACAGGCAGACAACATTAGGTTCAAAAGGGTAAGATACAAGGTCATGAATTTTGTCAGAAAATAGCACAGTATACAAAGGAACCAAATGAAATTCTAGAACTGAAAAATACTGTAACTAAAAATAATTCAACAGGTGAAGAGAGGTTCTGTGACTGGAAAGCAAACAACTGAAGAGAGACTTCAGAATAAAATATGAGGCAACATGACAGAGAACAGAAAACGGGACAAGGGACATAAGGGAAACAATGGAAAGGTCTAAATATATATTATGCAAGTCACAGAAAAAGAAACAGAAAATAGATCGAAGATAATTTCTGAAGAGAAAATGGTCATGATTTTTCTAAAACTGCCAAAAAACATCAATCCAAAGAATCAAGAACATTATGAAAAGCAGTGTAAGTAAAAAGAAAACCACATCTGGAAACATCAAAGTCAAATTCCTAAATGCAAAGACCAAAAACCAAATGTCTTAAAAGCTACAATTAGTTAACTTTAAAAAGGAAGAAAAGACAATAGGAAAATATCTTCAAAATCTTCATGGTGGTAAAAGAAGATAACTTTCAGAGTAGACTCCTATACGCAGTAAAAATATTCTCCAGAAATGCAATTAAATAAATGTAATCTCAGACTACACCACAACCTAGTTAAAAGAAGTAATAAAAGCCCTGGCTGGCGTAGCTCAGTGGATTGAGCATGGGCTGGGAACCAAAGTGTCCCAGGTTCGATTCCCAGCCAGGGTACATGCCTGGGTTGCAGGTCATAACCCCCAGCAACCGCACATTGATGTTTCTCTATCTCCCTCCCTTCCCTCTCTAAAAATAAATAAATAAAATCTTTTAAAAAAAAGAAGTAATAAAGTGTTTTTTAGAAAGAAAAAGATGATCTCAGATGGAAACTTTGAGACACAGGGAAAAACAGGGAGCTCTGTTATGGGGAAATATGTGGATAGGTACAAATGCCTCTTAATTGTATAAAACAATATAAATGCACATATATTACTTCCATCTATCACATATATAATATGACAATAATAGCAAATAAATAGAAAGAGATGACTTAAAGTTCCCTAAGTTCCTTGTATTACTTGGAAGTAGTAAAAATACAGGTTTATATTAGACTTTAACAAATCAAGAATGCATACTGTAATCTACAGGACTAACCACTAAAAGAACAAACAATAAATAGGATCTATACATAAGCCAGCTAATGGGGGGAGGATAAAATTCTTTAACACCAACACAAAAGAAAGTATTAAAAGAGAAAACATAACACAGAACAAGAAAAATAAAAATCAAATAAGGCTGTAAGTGGTAGCCCCAACATATCAAGAATTCCAGTAAGTAGACCAAAAGCACTGATTAAAGACCAAAAAAATGCTAACACTAGATACGAAGACAAGCCCCACTACATTTTGTTTACAAGAGAGGAGGAACATCTAGACTATGAGGAGGCAGAACGACCCGGAGAAGAGGGGTGGGGCTCTGTGCTGGGCACACAGCCCTCAGAGAGAGGAAGCTGGTGGGTGGGGCTCTCCAGGCAGAGGAAAGGGCCTGAACGCGCAGTTCCCAGAAAGATGCGTCTTTTGATAAAGGCTCAGCTCACCACACCAACAGTTTTTATCTGCATAAGTGTCTGGACTGGGTCCAGACAGTTATAAAGGACATCATGGGGACAATTGTGGAAATGAGAATTCGCACTGTGGATTAGATAACAGTACTTTATTGATGTTAGCGTTCAGAATTAGATAATTATACTGTCGCTATGTAAGAGGCCATCCTTCTTAGGAGTTATGAATAAAGAAGACTCAACAGGAGACGGAACGAGAATTTCCCTGGGCGAAAAGACTCCGCGTTGTAAAGATACCAGTGGTGCTGCAAAGCGGTCTGAGGACCCCTCTGCGATCCCTGGCTCCCCCAGACCACCTTCACGTTTCCAAAATTTACCAGCAGGTGGGGGAAACACGCCCTCCTCCTCACTGGCCCGCCCTGACACCTACTGCTGACCACCACCTGCTCTGCGCCACCCTCATGGACACTGACAGCAGCACGCTCCACCCTCGCTTCCTCTGTTCACCTCTGAACCTGCTCTGACTAGTGGGGTTTTCAGAATCCATCCCTACTCAACATTCACCCGAACACAAAATTCTCCTTTCTGTTCAACTGTGAGCACAGTACAGGTCTGAGGTCCGATCGCTGACATGGCCCAGAGTTCTGCGGAGCCTCTCTGATGCACTGGACATGTGGCTTTATCTGTAAGTATGTGCACAGTACCCGGCGGTGGCTCCCCCGGCTGACCACCAATGCCATGGCTCACGTGGCCACGCACATGGGAGTCGGAGCTGTGGCCCACTGGGTTCCAGTGTTTGACCAGCTCCCGCTCCCTTGCTGGTGCAGCATGAGCTGCGGCCTGTGTGACCCACAGCAAGAGAGACGGGCCCACGGACAGACACGACTTACTTCCTTCTGGGTTTGGTGCAGAAAGAATGATGCTGTGGTTTTTCTTCACTTCTTCCACATATTGAGCTATTTTAGATATACTGTTTCTAATCTCTTCAACCTAGGAGAGAGAGAGAAAGTCATCACCGTGTGGCAAGTGGCAAATTCAAACTGGTCACCACTTTTCTTGCCTCTGAAAGAAAGGATAACAAAGGGAAAAAGGTGAATAATTACACATGGGAAAAAAAGCCACTTCTCATCACACACTGATATTCACTTAATTCAAAAAACATGGGCCATGTTAAGTTAGGCACTATCAATCAACATCCACCAGCGAAACCCATTAGGTTGTAAAAATGCTCACAGTCAAGACCCAAGTATTACCACAACGATGCCAACTAAAAGCATCCTACCAGTGATGCCCGTACTCGAGCAGCATTCGTGTGGACTCACACAGTACTCGTGCAGTGCTTGAGAGTACGCACACGGTACTCGTGCATGGAGGAGACTCGGCCCACAGCAGGTGCGGGCAATCACACTCTCACCTGGGGAGGCATGTACACTTGATAAGGCAGAGCCTTCACAGTCATTATTTTTTACCTCTGATGGTCTGAAGTTAAAATATTCAGTACTCATTGCTAAATGTCCTCATTAGCAAGATCTGTCCAGGTGGGGTCCTATCATCTTCCTAAACCTCTGCAGTAGGCTGAATAATGTCCCCTGAAATGCCCAGGTCCCAGTCCCCAGAACCAGTAAAAGCCACCTTACCTGGCAACAGAAAGTTTGCAGATGTGACTAAACTAAGGCTAGGGAAAGGGGAGATAACCCTGGATTCTCCAGGGCAATGCGGGAAGTGTACTTAAAAGAGAAAGAAGGTGGAGTTATGGCTCCAGAAGGGGCCCCTGACCCAGAAGCGAGAGCTGGCTTTGCCATGAAGGGGGTACAGGGGGAGCAGGGGATGGCCAACTCCCAGCACTGCTGATCAGCACAGCCCCACCCTCACCTGGGGTCCACCCAGAACAGTGAGAGGACACATCTGTGCTGCTTCAGATTCTTGGTCGCGGTCACTAGGCAACCAGGACACCCCCAAAGCACATCAGCAGGGGACTGGGTAGATTTGAGGACTGTTTTATTAACACTAAAAATTCCTAGAGAACTCATGTAATTCAAACACTCTTAAACATATTAGTGTTAGTATTACTCCGGACAGGACAAATGCCCAGTTGCAGCAGCATAACGGCTGGAAGAAGGAAAGTCTGTGCTCGCTCCAGCAGCACGTGTACCAAAACTGGAATGGCAGACACAGAGCAGGGCAGCACGGCCCCTGCGCACGGATGACACGTAAGTTCATGAAGCGTTCCACATGTTTTAAAGAAGTCTGACTGGACTTCATCGAATGACCCTTACCTGATGGAAGAACTCGTCCATAAAATGGCCCTTCTCCACGACGACAGTGGCGTCCCCATCGTCGTTTTTCCTGCACTGCAGCAGAAAAGGGAGATCCAGACTTAAAGACTTCTCCCGTGGCCACCCACAGAGAACTAGAAGAGCGGCTCGGGTCCTCTGGGTCTCAGCCCGCGAGCACACTCTGCGCCAAGCCCACCAAAGCTCCACGCTCCAGGACAACGTGACTCCGCCACGTGCCAAGCGAGCAGCAGGCCTCAGTGAGAGCAGGTGGGCGCCGGGAGCCCTGCGGGAGGGACGCGGAGCAGCGCCGCACGGTTCGTTTGTCCTCAGTCTCGTCTGTCTGTCTGTCCAAGTGAGGCAAGCCACTTTTACCCACAAGAAGTGAAACTGCTCACACTGCCTTTTCCTATAAAGACGGAAGTGCTGACACCGTAGCCAGCTGTCCCGGAGCACACCATAGCAGTCCAGGACTCCCACCCACATTCTCCGGCGTGAGCGGCTCCAGGTCGTGCGCACACTCACCAGTAACCGCTCTGTCTGGGGAGAGGCACTGCAGGAGGCCTTAGGAAATAAACCATGGGAGAGAGCAACTCTCATGACCACTGGGAAGAGCCGGGATGACACTTACTGTAGGTTTAAAATCACACCAAAGAATAAAGAATGAGGAACCTTCTAGGCCAATGGTTCTCCACCTCAAGTTGCATCAGAAACCCCCAGAAAGCTGGGTCTCTGACTCGGGAGGTCTGGGATGGGGCGTTCTATGCATTATTGAGCATTCTAGAATAGTGCTGCATTCTGACAAGTTCAGGGGATGCTGCTGGAGCAGAGACCCCACTTGGAGAAGCTCCCTTTTAGGCAGGCGAACGACCTAACAGCGTAAACCCTCTACTGGGAAGAAAGCCACCGGGGACAGGAGACAATCGCACGAGACCCAGGAAGCGCTCGGAACACCCAAACGTGAGCCGCGGCAGCGGAGGGAAGTCTGGAGGTGGGGGCGGGTGACACAGAAATGCAGCAGAAACCAGCAGGGCAGTTCAGGGAGGGACCTGTCCTTGGGGCACACCAGATGTTCGGCTCTCGTCCAACAGGAAGCTGCAGCGATGGGTTTTAGAACACCCCTCCTTGGGAGAACTGAAATCTTGAACTGCTGAAAGACTGAACTCTATGTAGCATCACTGACGTTCAACCCAGGAATAACCTGGAAATGAAGTTCCACTAAAATTTAAGAAGCATCTGAAAAATTTAATAAATGTGGCAGAAAGCACAAGAAACCCTCTGTCTCACCGTCCAGGGCCCGCTCTCAGGCAAATGGATTTGGCCTACAATCGACCACCGTCTCTCAGGACCCTCAGGAGGGCGCTCAGTGTCGCCTCCCAGCCTGAGGCCTCTCCAGGCGGAGGTCAGACACCTCTGCGGTGGGAAAGGGAAGCACTGCGTTTCTCTAAGACGACAGAGGTGCGCTCACATCCGAGGGCCTGTCTGGGCCGATCTCGACAGCATGGCCTCACCAGGGCACACAAGGCACGGGACAGGCAGTTCTCACGGAAGGAGGAGGATCTGCCCCGAGATCACTGCCCACAGGGGCTGGGGCAGAGCCGAGGCCCAGAGGCGCATGGTGTGCACTCTGCTCAGCGCCTGGCCCCGGCCCGCCCCGGCCTGAGAGGCTGCCCACAGTGCCCTCGCACGGCACAGCTGTTGAGAAGGACACCGCGCTGCTGCTGAGAGCACTGTATCTGTACGGTCAACAAGACAAGTATTAGGAGTTGGACCGGGTCCCAAAAGATGGGCCCTGGAGCCCGGACCCCAGACCCTCCGCACATGAGCCACATTTGGAAAGGGGTCTGTGTGGACGGATTAGCTGCGATGAGGTCACGCTGACCACAGGACTCGGGTCCTTACGGGAAGGGGCAGACTCACACTGGGGTAGACGGCCGAGACGAGGGGACAGGCCTGCGGTGACGTCTCTACAAGCCCAGGAACACAAGGACAGCCAGCACCCAGGGGAGCCCAGCAAGCCCGTCAGGACGCACTGCCTCCAGCTCCAGTGGGAGCACGGCCCTGCCGACGCCCGATCCCAGACCTCTGCTGTCCGAGCTGGGAGCTCCCGTGTCTGTTGTTTTGAGACACCTGGTCTGTGGCACTGAGTGTGAAAACCGTGACCACTGGCAGAAAGCTCACGCCGTGGGGCAGCAGGCCTGAACTCCGGCGGCTCACAACAGTCCGACTCCACGCGCCCTCTCCCCGAGCCTGGGAACCAGTGCCCACACCCGCCCACGTCCCTCAGAGACGCGGCTGTGAGGAGAAGGGGCATTTCCTCAGCGGGCACGCACACCGAGAAAGGCTTTTAAACCCACTTCCGGCCCGTGCTCCCCACTGGGAGCAAAGCAGCCCTCACAGGTCGATCGGCACTCAGCTGACGAGCAGCGGCCACGAACCCTGCCGCTCCCCTGCAGAGAAAGGAGCCGCTGCCACCGTGCGGAGTCAGGCACGCCCGCTCCCTGGCGCTGACAGCCGCGCCCAGCGTGTGCCACCGCCTCCCCGTCCCACGGCGGAGCACACTGAGTGGCTCAGGAACGCGTCCCAAGTCGCAGAACCAAGCAGCGCCAGGGCCACGTCTGAGCCCGGGCCTGCGTGGCCCTAAAACTGCCCCGACAGCTCCACCGTGCTGACCTGGGAAACACAGAGCGCAGCCTGACCTCCCACTCGCGGTCTCAGGCGAAGTACCCCGCACACGCACTTCATCACCCCTGCTCTGCCCGGAGGAGGCCGGGCACCATGGAGCGAAGGGGCTGCCCCGTCCGTCTGACCGCCCCACGGCCCTGCTCCCGAACCCCGCGGGCCTGCAGCCTCCGGGAAAGGAGCCTCGCTGCAGGCCCCGTGGGCCCTGGCCACAGCCGGCCCCCAGGCGCTCCTCCCAGCCCAGGGTGGCCTCACCCTCACCTCCGTGACAGTGTGCTCCATACCCGTGCTGTCTGGACCCGGTGTCACCGTTCCCGTGTGTCTGTCTGCTGATCTGGGGTAAGGTGTCTCTGAAGGCAAGGATGGGGCCAAATCGAGAGAGGGAAAGGCCGCCCTACGAGCAGTCCCCTTACTGTGAACTCACCCCGTAGGCATGGGGAGGGGAGAGGATGGACAGGCACGTGACGCTGAAGGCTGGCGAGCCTCCCTGCGGCCCAGACACACGGGCGATGAGAAATGCATCTGCCCACGTGACCCTCATGGGGTCCCCATCTCCCACTGACAGCCATTCCCAGTCCACAGCTGCCCACCTTGTTTTTGTTTGACTCTGCTATGGACAATTACAAATGCATAAGAAAACAGGAACAATATGGAGGCAAAGGGGGAGAAATTGGGACAACTATATAGCCTAATCAATAAAACATACTTTTAATGTAAAAAAATAAAGCAAAATGTTAAGAAGAAAGAAAGAAGGAAAAAGAAAATAGGAACAGCATACTGAGCCCTCGGTGGACCGGTCACCTGGGTTCCACAAGGATCACCCTATCCTGTTTCAGGTGGGTGCTGCACACCCACGGCGCCCCCACCCCTCCCCTCTAGGTCATCTCGGGGAAAACGCCCCACAAAAGACGCCTGTTGAGTGTACAAAGCAGCTGAAAACCCACGCCGACGACCTGCCCTGCCCCTCCAGGACAGAGGTCGTCCCCCAGCTCAGCGCTCAGGAGGGCGGGGACCGACAGGACAGTTTCCCCAAGGACTTCTCCCAAAGCCCTCTGACTCTCGGAGCCCCGCCCGTCGCCAGGGTCTCCACTCACAGTCGCTCGGTCCCACGCCTGCTGTTAGCTCGTCTGTTTTTCTACCTGCAGACGGTGGGAGAGCCAGGTGACCATGGAGAGACCTCCTCCTTGTCTCTTTTATTTGTCGTGTTAAACCTTTACTTACATTTCTCACTTCCACTTGGAATTCTCAGAACTATTAGGTATTAGGAAACAGACCCAGGAACACTGTCTTAGCTTTTCCACTCATAAAAAAAGGCACAAAGAGTACAAGCACCACACTAATGCTATTTAATGAAACGCTCACTGCAGGTTTTAGCAGAAGCTGAATCATCACAAATTAGTAGGATCCAAAGCTGGACAAAACGCTGGCTGTTCTCTCCATGGACACGTATTCCAGGGCCGCGCACACACGTGATAACTGTGGGGAAACACACTCACCGAGCTTGAAACACGCACAGTGCTTATAGTACCTCTGCTGCTAGAATACATTCTTTTTCAAAATTAAATCATTTGAATAAAAGAATACTTGTGACTTAAGGTGGATAAAAACGTGACTATTGGCCAGTTTGTAATTACGGTGCCAGATGTAACACTCCATCCTCCTATTTTTGGTAGTTACGGTTCTGTGCCCTGTGGTGGCTGGGACACTGTTCCAGGCATCCGTGTTTTACCACAGATCTGTCTCCGTGTCGGTAACACACAAGCACCGCTTCCCGGGACTGCGACTCCGCGGAGGAAGCCCCGCACCGCACACGCCCGCCGCGAGCCAGCGGGCTTTCTTCTCTCGGTCGGGCGCATCGACTTCTCCTTGCTGCTCACTTCCGCGCAGTACTGACCACCAAACTGGTCACCTTTTTCCCTCACAGCCCCGTCCCCACCTCTGGGCCCTGGGGTTGGCTGCCCTGCCTAGAGCGTGCTCCCCAGACTGCACACGTCACACAGGTCTCAGCTCAGAGCCGGCGCCCTGGCTGCCCGTATACAGCGGCCCTGACTCGTGGCCCTCAGAGCAGCTCCTGCAAAAGACACTCAACTAATCACGGCCGGGCTGTTTCTGGCCCACTCCAGGAAACGGCCCACGACATTTCCCGGGAGCACGGACTCAGTGCCCAAAACAGTGCCCCTCAGTAAAGGTGGGCTAAACGAGTGCATGGAGAGCGAAGAGGCGAGGGCCGGAGCAGAGAGGACGCACTCGGAGCAGGACAGAGAGATGGAGGACGGAGACCGA